GGGTGGATGCCATTTGTACCAAGCAATTTATGTACATGCGTAACACCTAAGCTTGACCATTTAGATGTTTGGAGGTCTGGAGATAAGGCGGAGAGGGCTGATAATGGTGCAAGGTACAGTAGTTCTGCCTTTGGCCATATTGCCGTGTTCCACATAGACGATGATTTTGTAATATATCGTGATGTTGGGAGCGTGGAGGGTGATGCTAAGGGGGTGGAGGACCATAGGGCATTGTATAGGGAGTGTGAACCCCCACAAGCGGATTCTAAATCTACCCATACTGGTTTGTGCGTACTCATCATAACATAGAGGCTTTGTGACAACAGGGTTGCTTTATAGTAGAGCATGATGTTGGGAACATTAAGACCTCCCTTTTTGAATGGACGCCACAGAGAGTGGAAGGATATTCTTGGGGGCTTTTTCTTCCAAATATGGGCGTTAATTGCCCTCTGGAAGCGTTGAAGGAGCGAATTAGGTAAGGCAATGGGCAATGACCTAAATAGGTAGAGTATATGTGGCATAATCATCATTTTAATAGAATTAATTCTACCAAACCATGATGTGTAGAGATTGCTCCAAGAGTCCATTTGTTTGGTAATATTGGACAGGACCGCTATGTGATTTTCCTTTATAGTTAGGGATTTGGAGTGCGTTAATTTGATGCCTAGGTACGAAATTGCGTTAGTTTGCCACGCAAATTGATATGTGTTTTTCAGTTCGCTCACCAATTGCTTATTAAGTCTTATGGGTAGTATTTGGGTTTTATTAACATTATTCTTGTAATAGGAGATGTCTCCATACGTGGCCAGTGTTTGTAATAGGTGAGGAATGGATTCAGCTGGGTTAGCTAAAAAGATAATTACATCATCGGCAAAAAGTGCCAACTTTTTTTCTCCTGCTGGGGTATCTATACCGGGTAGCGCCGCCTCAAGTTTGATCGTTCTAACTAGAGGTTCCAGACATAAAATGAAGATCAAGGGCGACAAGGGGCACCCTTGCCTCGTACCGTTGGTTATATGAAAATTACGTGATGTGAAGCCAGAGCTGAAAACTTTAGCAGATGGGGCGGAATATAAGGCCATAATGCTGGTAATGAAAGCATTGGAGAAACCAAAAGCCGACAGGGTCTCTGACATATAATCCCAATTTAGGCGATCAAATGCCTTCTCCGCATCTAACGCCAACAAAGCACCTGATTTATTTTTGAGGTTGGCCCAATCAATTAAGTCCATACAGTATCTGGTGTTGTCCCCAACCTGCCTGCCAGGAACAAAGCCCGCTTGTTCTTCTGAGACTAATGAGGACAACAGGGGGCGAATTCTGTTGGCAAGCAGCTTGGCATACAACTTAACGTCAGCATTAAGTAATGAAATCGGCCTGAGATTACTGCAATATGTTGGTGGTTTATTTGGCTTAGGCAAGGTGATAATGTAAGCTTCTAGCATATCTTGTGGGAATTTACCTGTCGTTCTTATTTTGTTAAATAGCTTTGTAAGGTGTGGTATTAATCGCGATGCCAATTTCAAATAATAATAGTTGGAGAGACCATCAGGTCCCGGTGCTTTATGTTTCAGCAGGGATTTAATCACATTACTCACTTCAGTTTCCGTGAACGGTGCATCTAAAAGATTCATGTGATGCGTCGGTATTTGAGGGAGTGTGATTCGGGAGAGGTATCGTGTAATGTCTACAACACTGGGGGATTTGGTGTTGGGGTTATTGCGAAGATTGTACAGGTCTTCATAAAAACCGGCCAATTCTTCAACAATCGTATTCGGGTTATATATTCGTGCGTGATCTTTGGAATATAGATAAGGGATTTTAGTTTGTAGGTATTTTGCTTTCAGTTGGTTAGCCAAAATCTTGCCTGCCTTGTTCCCTGAAAAGTAATACAATTGTTGGGTTTTGCGTGCTTGCTTGGTGTATAATTGTGATTGAAGAAGGTGAATATCCTGTTGTACTTTGGTAATTTGACGGGTGACTGATGTAGATGGGGATTGTTTATTGGATTCTTCTAACTTCCTAAGGGTATGGCGAAGTGCAGTCTCTTTAGAAATATAGCTTTTTTTAGCTATGGAACCCAATCTGATGAAGTGACCCCTGACAACTGCTTTGTGTGCTAGCCATTGAGTTTCTACCGTGGTGTCTTCAGTGGAATTAACCTCAAAGTAATTATCTAGTACCGTGGAGATATATTGAACATCAGCAGGGTTATCAAGGAGAGATTCATTCAAACG